CAGTAGTCGCGTTGGCTTTGCCTTTGCTGACACCTTGTGGTAAAATGGAGTAGAGCACAGTGTAAAACAGGCTCAGAATAAAATAACCTACAGCCTTCAAGAAAATCATTTTCCAGAACAAACATGGCCTTTCTTTCCTGTGCTTCTAGGCCATGATAAGAAATAATGAAACAATTAACAAGCAAGCAATGAGAGTTGCAATCTGGTTTTTATTGACTTTTGTACAAAAAGGAGGTATGATGATAATACATAGATGGCAGAGAATAGACCACATTAATTTCACCAGCTTAAACCAAACAAATAGGAGGGGGTACTGGCTGATGTAAGAGGAAAAACAATCAACACAACATTCCAAAGAAATTCGTTCACTGAAATGTTTACATCTAGTAATCTCATTTGTCCTTGAAGTATTGAGTGACGTGTTCAAAAAAACAGTTCTGTTTCAGCCAAAAACATGGACATGAATGAGTAAGCATATTTCTCTAGCCCAGATATAATTGGGCAGCATGATGTCAACCTGGAGCTGAAATGAATACTTAGCTACAACACTGCCCCCTATTGACTACGAAATAACATTGATAGAGAGCTGAGCAGTAGATTCTTGAGTTGCTAGTTTTCCAGTACCGTACCATAAAAAAATGTAAGCCTACTTTTCCAAACAACTGTGTAAACTGTTCCTTGGCTGTATCAAATGTGTATACACTCCCTGGCAGACTCCAGTTTTACCAATAGAGAAGCCATATGGGAACCACCAAGATGGCATCCACAGTGTTAAATGGATACGTCTTTAGTGACATGGTTGAGGTATTGCCACCCTACTAACCCAAGACTATGTGGGGAAAGTCATGAGACTGCAGACCTGCTGGTCTGTGTAGTGTGTTTTGTTTTCAATACAACAGAGCCATCTTGAGTGGAGTGGAACCGTAGTGGCATTGACACCCATCTCTTAGATAGCAGCATGGGTCAGTCACTAGTCTAACAAGATCACATTTACATTTTAGTCATTTAGCAGACGCTCTTATCCAGAGCGACTTACAGTTAGTGAGTGCATACATTTTCATACTGACCCCCCGTGGGAAACGAACCCACAACCCTGGCGTTGCAAGATCAGGTTATATGCAAGTTTACGCTCTACTACAAAATACATCACAGTTGTGTACTGTATACTAGTTATTTAATTCACAGTATGACTATCAGGGCAATGATAGTTACGAAAACAGATAGGCTATAGTCTGTGGGAAAAGGACTCCAGTATATTCACAGTTGTTATATACAGTACGCCAGTGGATAGGAAAAGACTCTTGAAATTGGCTTGACAAAATGAGCAACTGTCATAGCCAGAGGCCTCGAGTCAAAACTTCAATGTACAGAAGGATATTTACAACCATCTAAATGATACACATCATAATCCAATGTAGCCTCTGCACTGCCGAAAAGTCTTCAGTCATGAATCCAGAGCCTGAATCAGTTTAAAATAGTTCAGGGTGACTTGAACGCCAAAACATAATCTTGTCATAATATTGACACCGATATTAATATAATATTAATTAATATTAAGCTCCATCACATTGTTTTTTCTACTGAAATGCCAGATTGAGAATTTGGAACAAAGACCGGATAGGATGCAGTAGCCTATAGTTAGATATGGAGGATACCATGGATAGAAGATGGATGGAGAGCAAATTAATGTACATTTAATGTAAATTAATGATTGAGGGGAATTTACAAAAAATCTAATTCTGAAAAATATAATACTTTTATGATTGACATAAAATCAAAGACTCTATCATCACCAAGGCTTGCATGATGTAAAATGAAATACAATTTTATAATATAAAACTTTAACAAAATAAACATTTAATGTCAACACACCATGTTGCAACAGGCTCAAACATCTTACAATGGTACACAAATGCAGTCAAACAAATAATATGCAACTGTAAACTGCAGTATAATAATACATGGACCTAAGCAAACACACACAATAGTTGATATGCATATGTATTCTATACACACATGAATATCCTTCACAAGATTAAGCACTCTGAACTGTACAATATCTGCAATGGGAACTGTTGAGCAAAACACTGTTTTTGCATATACAGTAATACTATTCTTATAATACAATAATAAAATGTCCACACAAGAAAATGTTAAGCACAAACCCAAAAAGGCCACAAAAGTGCATAAAACTTCAGTTGGAAGCCACTGGTAGGGAAGGGCTACGGTGTAGGAGCTGGGATGGACCACTGCTTTGCCTCGCTCCTAACCTCAGAGATCTACATGATTCACTTTTAGTGGAGGGCACTCACTACCTCTGGAGTAGATATCCGGGATGTTCGCTCTCACATCACACACACGAACACACTCAAACAGAGTCAAATGCACATCGACACACACGGTCACCATCCGAGTTTCACGCACAAAGGTTGGGAGAGACGATGAAATGACATTGACACTTCCTGACTTCCAACACTTAACAAATGATCTTCTAGTAGCGGCGTGACACCGGTAGATAGATCTCTAACCAGCTAAGTGTTGGTACCTGTTGGAAAGACTCACTCGCACCCTATCTAGGTCATAGAAGTCTTGTGCACTCACAAGAGACATCTAGGTCCCTCCCAATGACTAGTATCAGAGAAACAATACCATTTAAAAAAACACTGAAATGATAGTCAGCATTCAAAACAAATAAAACACTGGTTAAGTGTCTGTGGCATGTGTTGTGATCGGCGGCGATCACTATTCTTGTGCAAAGCGCACCATATGCGTTGAAGTACATGTAAGGTTCGCTTGCTATTCTCATATCATATAGCTAGCCAGTGATCTTAAATGATCTGGAAAAAAATAGATGTGCAAGTTGAAAATAAAGAAGTTCCCGGTTCTTAATGGAGAATTTTGCTTTTTTACAACCAAATCCATATATATCTTTTTTTTTTTACAATGCCATGTTATGGAAGGATACAGATACTTTTTTTTGGAATTTCACTTGTTTTTGAAAAACGTAAGCCAACCAGTGAGTCACTTCCTCATCCTCGTTGTGCAGTACGGGGGCTCTGAAAACATGAACAAATGCCCCATAAACACCCAAATACGTCATTTTAGAAACGGAAATGCTCTCAGTATAGTGATGCTGGTCTTTAGATGTTGTACATTATCCGTAACGTTATATTCCATTTTATTGTGATTCGAGCAATACCTCTCCGTCCATTCTAGCAGCAGGCTACCGAAGACTGGAACAGATGGATAGGGGAAACAGCTCGTCGCACAAAATGGAATATAACGTTGCGGATAAAGTTTGGAATGAAAAGGATGTATTTGGCCGTTTTTTGGAGCATTTGTTCATGAGCCCCCGTACTGCACAACGACGATGAGGAAGTGACTCACTGGTTGGGGTAAGTTTTTAAAAAATAAGTGAAATCGCAAAAAAAGTGTGTGCATCCTTCTATAATATATCATTTACATAAAAAATTGAGATTTGGTTGTAAAAAAGCAAAATTCTCCTTTAAAAACAGCTCGTCTCATCGACGTTTGTCTGACATTCCTTAACCACCACCCACCCACCATACTTGGGTTCAAGTTGCTGAAATAAAGCATGCAAAGCTTGTTTCAAACATTAGCTTACGTCAGGGATGGGCAACTTTTATTGGGGTGGGGGCCACAAAAAAATCGGAGGGGCCGCAGTTGCTCGAGGGTCTGTGTACCCACATCCATAAGCCCCCTCCCCGGCAAGCAAAACTTTTAGCAGCCCCCCTCTTGACAGTTTTAGAGTTAATTTAGTGTAATTCTATATATTTTGCCATGGGGCCGAGAGAAGATTTTGCAATTTTATAAATACTTTCATGCAACTCTAATCATTTTGCCATGGGGTGGAGAGGAAAATGTGCTGTTTTACAGCTAATGTCCTGCAATTCTAACATAGTGTGTAGAGAAATGTAATTTTTATTTATTTGTTAGTGTTTTTGTCATTCTTAGCCCCTTTTTCTCTCCAATTTCGTGATTACGATCTTGTCTCATTGCTGCAACTCCCCAACGGGCTCGGGAGAGGCGAAGGTCGAGTCATGCGTCCTCCGAAACATGACCCGCCAAACCGCGCTTCTTAACACCCGCTCGCTTAACCCAGAAGCCAGCTGCACCAATGTGTCGGAGGAAACACCGTTCAACTGACGACCGAAGTCAGCCTGCAGGCGCCTGGCCTGCCACAAGGAGTCGCTAGAGCGCGATGAGCCAAGTAAAGCCCCCCCGGCCAAACCCTCACGAACCACAGGCTGTATTGACGCCGCAACACATTTATGACATGGATAGGCTAATTGAGTGACTATCAGGAATTTTGCTATTCTAACTCGCAACAGTAAGTTGAGACCCCGACTGAGTCCCCCCCCAAAAAAAATAAAATAAGGGGGAAATTGATCCGAGGGCCTTCAAAAAGCGGGGCCGCTGGCCGCCAGTTGCCCATCCCTGGCTTACAAGCTAAATCCTAGGGTAAAAGCGCTAATCCAATCAAATATATCTACTTGTGGAACATTTTGCAATAAACATTTTCTATAATGTTTATAGTGTTATTATGACACCTGTTTTTTATCGATTGTTTTCTTGCATTCCCCTTTCAGATGGTCATCTCCAATACAGGCTAAAGCAGATTGGTTTCATTCTACAGAGAGACAGAGACAGACTAAACTCTTTAAGGCCACAAAATGATTTCCGTCTTTCCTTCAGAGACTGTTTGACAGGCTCTGTAAAGGACTGACCGAACTGTCTCTCTCCATCCCCCTCTCTTCCTCCCACCCCATCCTTTCTCTATCATCCCAGACCATAGCGCCCCCTTGTGGGGTGGCCTGTAGGCTTAGGGGGGGTGGGGTTGTTGGTGGGGAATTAATGGGGGAGCTCTTCTTCTTTCTTCTTGGTTCTGGTCAGTATCGGTTTTCCTTTGGTCTCCATCTTAGATATCCCCAACCAAGTCAGTCACTTCCTACCTCCTCTCCAGACAGGAAGGGGAGGGGCTAGCGTTGGAGCAGGTAGACCACCATCTCATAGGTGGACATCATTATAGCAGTGTTGGGGATCTGGCGGACCAGATGGGTGGTGAGACCGCGGTACAGGGCACGGTAGCCCTCCTCCTTAGGTACTGTCAACAATGTCTGGAAGAAGGAGCGGTACTTGCTGCCCTCCTCTCGTAGCCGGGTGCGGATCACCTCTACAAAGGAAGAGGCAAGAGGGAGGAGAGAAGAGGGGACTCATTTAGACCATGGATGCAATAGTATGGAAATTCCGGACGGATACGATAGCCGATATTTTCTTCAACATGATGAACGTTACCAATACTGATATGGAAAAAGAAGAAAAAACATTTTCCTCCCCGTGAGATGGGAGCAACAACCGAGTGACTTATTATTGACCATGATTCGTTTTAACTTTTTGTATTATTATTGGCGATATCATATCGGCCGATAACGATATGGCTGATATATCGTGTATCAATAATTGAGACCAAAAGTGACAATTTTGTAGACTATGCAATTTTTTGTCACTAATAAAACAGAAACTAAGATAAATTCTTTTGATGTATTCTTTACCGTCACATAATAAGTAGAAATTGAAGGTGTAGGTGCATACCGTGGGGGTAGGCGATGGAGGTGGCGCAGGTCTTGGACGTGGCGGCTGCCAGCATCATACCCACAAAGTCTGAGGCATCCTTCACCGACTCATCCTCGTCCTGATCCATGCTGGCCTGGGCCTTGGACTCCATCAGCTTGCGCTTGATGCTCTCATAGATGACAAAGTGGATGACTGTCTCGGAGATGCCGGCGTACGAGGCAGACATACCCCGGTAGAAGCCCCGCCAGCCCTCCGTCTGGTAGACCCGCCGCATGCACTCGAACGCATTCATGCGCCGCTCGCCACGGTTCCTGTGGTAAAAACATGTAGCGGGTGGGTAAATGAATAGTTGAACATGGCAAAAAAAGGTACGCAAAAGGATATTTGATCATATAGCTAACGGGATACATTTGGCAAGTAATAATGGAAAAGGGATTTGCAACATTCAATAAAGTGTATGCACTACTCCTCAGAATAACACCCTTTCCCCTAGTACCATGGGTCAATGCAATATGAAACTAGTCAAATAAGCATAACAACCCATAACATAGCTAGAGAACCAGTAAAATATGAAACAGCTGTGGAATAACATAAGCTAAGGGAATTTAATCAGCTGATGGCCTAGATCCAGACTCCCTGCTCAGTGCTTACCTGGCATCCAGCTGCAACCGGGTCTTTATAAGCCAGATGGGATTGGTCGCAGTGATAGCAGTGAACCCTGGGAAGAAGAGTTCAGAGGTTCAGACGGGGAGAGTGACACGGTGTGAAAGACAGCCTATCCAAGGACAAAGATATATATTGGCCTACGTTTTGGGGGGGTATTTCACAAAGCACCACCAAGGAGTTAGCCAGCTAACAATAACTCTTTATTTCCTGGATGATGAAGAAAGAAAAACTTGAATATAGGGAATGATATTACGGACTCAATACTCGCAGTAACCCAACCAAATGACATTCAACTTCAGCTGGCTTAATGAACTAGAAAAGTAAGAGTTAGAAATGAGTGCTGGCCAGTCTATCGATCCTGCGTTTGTGAAATACAACCCCAGTGAATTCTATATAAAGCTACTCTCCTTCTCAACTGGCTGCAGTGTCTGAAAGCATTGTTGACATCTTCAAGCTGTGTTTATGAGCTGTTTATTTACGTATTGGCAATCTCGTAAAACCTTTCCTTTTTCTCTGGTATTCCGGAATCAGGCCAGAGATGATATAAAAATGAACTTGATTACCTTTGATTAGGGCAGACTGTTTGTCCTTCACAGGAATTGAATAATGATTATATGGACTGATTAGATTCCTCATCAAGATTGTATTACAGCACGGGTAAAAACTCAGCTTAAAGATGTAGCCTAGTCCAAGTATCTAACGTTCCTCATTATCATCTCTAGAAGTTGTAATAAATATATCTAAGATGTGGCTATACTTAATCATAAATACTATTCCTAAGTATTTATAAACAAGGTGGGCCTGAATCTCATGTACACACCAGGCACTATAGAAATATAAGATATAACATAGTGCTATGCTATTGTTCAGCCCCCTTAATTAATAGTATTATTATTCACTCTGGTTAAGAGTGCCTGATAAAAGACTACCGTATAAATGAGTCAATGAATTGAGTAAATTTAATGTGAACAATAGTAGCTAGCTCCCAGATGGGGAGAGCTCAGCCCTACAGTAGGCCTACATATAAATAGCAAGTAATTGTGCAGTGTCGTCATGGTCTGAGCCTCAGCTGAAGGCCTCATTGGCTGCCACGGACCATGAGGAAACAAAATGGAGTCTGGCATTCTTGAATTATTCAAGAGGACATGAGGAATAACTGAATATCGCTGAGTAGAGGAGGTCAAGTGGTATTTCCCAGGGGAACTTGGCGTGCGTGCGTGCATATATACAGTGCATTCGGAAAGTATTCAGACCCATTGACTTTTTCCACATTGATACATTATAGCCTTATTATAAAATGGATTAAATAGTCCCCCCCCCCCCTCATCAATCTACACACAATACCCCATAATGACAAAGCAAAAACAGGATTTTAGATTATTTTTTTTACTGATATATCCCATTAATATAAGTATTCAGACCCTTTACTCAGTACTTTGTTGAAGCACCTTTGGCAGCGATTACAGCCTTGAGTCTTCTTGGGTATGATGCTACAAGCTTGGCACACCTGTATTTGTGGAGTTTCTCCCATTATTCTCTGCAAATCCTCTCAAGCTCTGTCAGGTTGGATGGGGAGCGTTGCTGCACAGCTATTTTCAGGTCTCTCCAGAGATGTTCGATCGGGTTCATGTCCGGGCTCTGGCTGGGCCACTTAAGGACATTCAGAGACTTGTCCCAAAGCCACTCCTGCATTGTCTTGGCTGTGTGCTTAGGGTTGTCCTGTTGGAAGGTGAACCTTCACCCCAGTCTGAGGTCCTGAGAGCTCTGGAGCAGGTTTTCATCTTAGGCCCTGCCGCTGAAAAACATCCCCACAGCATGATGCTGCCACCACCATGCTTCACCGTAGAGATGGTGCCAGGTTTCCTCCAGACGTGAGGCTTGGCATTCAGGCCAAATAGTTCAATCTTGGTTTCATCAAACCAGAGAATCTTGTTTCTCATGGTCTGAGAGTCCTTTAGGTGCCTTTTGGCAAACTCCAAGCAGGCTGTCATGTGCCTTTTACTAAGGAGTGGTTTCTGTCTGGCCACTCTACCATAAAGGCCTGATTGGTAGAGTGCTGCAGAGATGGTTCTCCTTCTGGAAGGTTCTCCTATCTCCACAGAGGAACTCTGGAGCTCTGTCAAAGTGACCATCGGGTTCTTGGTCACCTCCCTGACCAAGGCCCTTCTCCCCCGATTGCTCAGTTTGGCCGGGCGGCCAGCTCTAGGAAGAGTCTTGGTGGTTCCAAACTTCTTCCATTTAAGAATGATGGAGGCCACTGTGTTCCTTCAATGCTGCAGAAATGTCTTGGTACCCTTCCCCAGATCTATGCCTCGACACAATCCAGTCTCGGAGCTCTACGGACAATTCCTTCGAGCTCATGGCTTGGTTTTTGCTCTGACATGCACTGTCAACTGTGGGTCTTTCTAAATCATGTCCATTCAATTGAATTTACAACAGGTTGACTCCAATCAAGTTGTAGAAACATCTCAAGGATGATCAATGGAAACAGGATGCACCTGAGCTCAATTTCGAGTCTCATAGCAAAGGGTCTGAATACTTATGTAAATAAGGTATCTGTTTTTTATTCTAAAAACCTGTTTTCGCTTTGTCATTATGGGGTATTGTGTGTAGATTGAGGTTTATAAAAAAATAAAAATAAAAAATCCATTTTAGAATAAGGCTGTAACATAACAAAATGTGGAAAAAGTCACGGGGTCTGAATACTTTCCGAATGCACTGTGTGTGTGTGTATATATATATATATATATATATATATATATATATATATATATATATATATATATATATATATATATTAGTGATAAAGCGGTACCAAAACATGTATTAGTTTAGTGTTATTAATAAGTTGCTTATACTAATTTGGATTTGAATTAGTTTTCAATCAGAGAGACCAATGAATCCCCTGATAATGCATCAAGTCATTATGTTAGTTCACAAGTGAGTGTCATGTCATACACATTACAAGGTATACAGGTATATGACAAATGTGTAAGGTGCAGGTAATGCTAGTGTGATAATAAGGTGTGCATATTTAAAGACAGACAGTAATCTGGCACATCACGTATGCTTTGTACCGATGTCGTCGAGATACTTAATCTCTAAACAACAACAGCATTCAAACATGGCCATTGGCAAATGAACATAAATATACATCACTACATTGCGCCAAGAGCTAAAATGGACAATAGCATTTTCTCTAAACAAGAAACCAAGTTCTACAGTACAGTATCGCTCTAGAGCTTCTACTGTATCGAGGGACACAGTCCTAAGGCAACTGCGTGAAGAGGATGAAAAGTCTGTGGAAGAAGAAGAAGTAAAAGAAGAGGAAGAGAGATAGCTTCTATGGCGTGTACTCACAGAGTAGGGGCAAAGCTACTCCGCCTCACAGCTGCAGCTAGAAGCCTGCAGATATGGGGGGCTGAGGTGGCTGGGGCTCTCCCCCCTCACGCAGGGGTGAAAGCTACAGTAAAGCCCTAAAATAGACACAGGCTTTTCTGTACCACAGTCACACACAGGCAGCAGTCAACCAACCAACCCACCCACAAATGCATAGATGGGAGAGGAAATACCAATCCTACCTAATCCCCGTTTTTTTAAATAGGTAAAAAAGGAGGAAAAGCGTCACTCCCATCTCTCCCAACCCACTATCCCCCCAACCCCCCACTTTTTATATAAACAGGTAAGATCCACCTAAGCCTCCCCTCTCCCACATTTTTACCCACCCTTTTTTTAAACCAACAACTAAGGTGGGAGAGGAGAAAGGGGTCACACCCCATCTCCCCCCCCCCCCACCCCTCCTCTATAACCCCCCGACCCTGTGACCTTTCCCGACCCACACCTGTTTTAAATGCAAGAGGACGTCTCGTGTCGTTCTGTCAGGTATGTCTTTCTTGGTTAGGGAAAAAAAGAGAAAAATGCAAGTCTGTCGGAACATCACCCCACTGGTATAATTCAAATGATGTGCAGGACATAACAAATACACATGCAAGGTACACAATAAGAATCAAATAGTATCTTTAAATGATGTTCTTAGCTGATGCTACATGTGCCATTCCTTGTGTACCATTGTATCATTACTATAATCACTTTTATTGATTCTAAACAGCAGCAATGGGGTCAAATAAAATAGGGGACAAAGTCAACACTGAGTCATAATAAAAAGGTCAAGAAGTGCAAGAGAGGGTTCAAATGCTAACCTTGTCAAGCTGGTTTATAAAGAATGGCATATATTAATATAGTCTATAAATGACAAACTTAGATGGTCTGATTTATTTATCTCGGATTATTATTATTTATCTTTGATTAGCAGTTTTGTGATATGCCAACTCAAGAATACCTGCAAGACATGACCTGTTATTGGTAATGGAGCGAGGTTAGCATGTCTTGGGGGTATGATCTTTACCCTCTAACTTTCTCACTCATCATTATTCACAATACATTCAGGATTATCCGTAATCATGGTAGCATCCACATTAATGTAGAAGTGTTTAGAAACATATTATATTCTTATTTACAATAAAAGTGAGTCAATACATTATTTACCATTAATTTCTATTGGTCGCAAAATAATCTGAAACACAACCGAAACAAACTGCAAATGCTTCCAACAAGTTTGAAGAGTCACAAGCTTGTAGTCATTGCGTGCTAGGAATATGGAACCAAATACTAAACTTCTGACTACTTTATTTATACGAATATTTAGGGGTGTCAATCATTTCGGACCCCACTGTACATGTATGTTACATGGGTGGCATATTTAAGGCACAGTGTAGAGCATAGCTCCTGTTGGACGTACATAGCGGAACATGAATTAACCACGTGAACTACATAGATTAACTACATCTGCTGTGGTAGCTGTTCAAGAGTAATGATGTTGAATGGACAAGCCAAATAAGGACACTCAAACCTCTAATAGTGACAAGGTTAGCATTTCCCTTCATTTGCTGACTAACGTAAATCAAAGTGCGTGTGTTGTTCATTTACTTTTTACAGTGATGGTGGTGGTGGTGGTGGTGGTGGGGGGGGGGGGGGGGGGTAACAGGCTGGTAAATGGGGGAAGGGGGCAGTGTATCAAGACTGTGCAATCACATAGACGTTATAGGAGATACGAGAGCTGCAAACCAGCTGGCCGTGACCTATACTAGCATCAGCATCATCATTATTAGCATCAATAGCATCATCATCATTAGCATCATGGTCATACCAGTGAAAGGAAATGGGGTGCTACCTGAGGCGTCCGCCCAACAACGTCCGGTGGGCGTGTAGCCGCGAGGCGAGGAGACCTCCCGCAGTGAGGCCCCTGACATGTTTGCGCCCTGGGGCCTTTACTACTGTACACACACAGCACAGACAGCGCGTGAAGGGCCACACTCACTGTTTAGCAACCAACTGGTACGTTAACACGATTTAGGATCCTCCGAAGAGCCTCAAAAGAGACGACAAATGAAGAAATGGGGAAAGGAGAAAAATAACTGGGGGAAGTAGGGGTGGGACAGAAAGCACAACCCAAACTTTGAGGATGTTTATTTTTTTCAAATTGCTGGACCAGCCAGCTAGCTACTGGTAAGTATTATAGTGGTAAGTAGTGGTATGTAGTAAAGTGTTGAGCCTCTGCCATGTTGGCTGTATATCATGGTAGGACAAAGACAAAGCAGTTACGTGGGTCAGTGGTTCTATTCGCCGAGTGTAAAAGCTCTTGAGAGAGAGCAGTTCAATATATTAATAGAGGCAGTTAGTACAAAATGCAATAGTTAACCGTGTGCTTTGTCTTTTTCACACTTTTTGTATTTTCTTAGTTAGTGCTTTGACAAAGAAAAATGAAAAGGTTATTTTCACATCTAACTTAAGAACTACAATATTGAAGGGCAGAATAAGCCATAACCTCTTCACTGTCACTATAAATATAAAGTGGGGTTTATTGTAGTCGTCAAGAGACCGTTTGATCCTGAAAGTCTTCAATTGTGCTTTCGGACAAACCATCTGTGCTTGATATTCAAAACACTCACACAGGAAGCTAGAAAATGTCCACAACAAGGTAAGCCATATAGTGGCAATGTCTAGCACATAGCCTTGGCTGGAAATAGGCTAGAGCAATGTTTATAAAACATTGAATTATCTTCAAATGAAACAGCAACCCCATACACCCCATAACCATCCCATAACAATGTTATTTTTTAATTTTTTTAATAAGAATAATCAATTTTATCAAATAAAAATATGTTTCCTGTTACTTTAAACAAAAACTAAATATTTTAAAATAAAAACTAAACAATATCCCCTTGACCTTTCTATGTAATCCGTCAAAATAAAATAAGTAGCTGAAATCAATTGTCTAAACAAGTCAACTTTGAATGCAGCAACAACCAGTAGAAACTGCACTGACAAGATGTTACAGACAGCCGAGGGGGGGGGGGTTTGTGGAACGACTGTTACCTGCTAGGCCTGCAGACACCATGTGGACTTGCGTCGAGTCAGGCTCAAACACACCGTTCAGCTTCTCCTTGGCAGTGGAGTAAGCTGCAAAGTAGATTGCTCTGTGGAAACAGGAGGGAATTGATGTGAGCTAAGAATACAGGGAATCAATCGATAACAATTTCGGAACTCCGGCCCGTTACCGATAAATAATATTTTCTTGGGTCATGACAGTCGATACCAATATAGCAAACAAAAAACATGTTTCCATCTTGTGAGATTAGGGCAAAATAGCACAGTATAAATGACAGGCAGCGTCCCCTCTGTCCAAATTGACACAGAGTAAATGACCTGGAACTGATGACATGAGCGATTTTCACTGAAACCGGTTGCATTCATTTGGGTAGTTTTGTGTGTCCCCATGTCACCAACCCACATTAAACCCCCCATCTAGGCCTATATAAATAATGGTCCATTAGGAGGGTTCCTGCGTAGTGTGTCCATCTGAAGGTCACTGCACACGCATGCATATGTACAACTCATCCCCACCCAGGCACCCAAACCCTGCTTTAGCTGGAGATTTATCGCCCTTGCAGCTCCTACTCTCTCTCTACTTAACTCAAATCACAGGATTACTCAAGTAGACATTTCCGCTGTGGGGATTTAAAACCAACGACCCGCCTGCGCTCGGCTTGCTCACTTCGCCCTTAGTGTGCGTTTGTCAGAGTGAGAGTACACTGTGCATGTACATGTGTGTGCATGCAGATGTGAGATTGGGCGCACGTGTGTGTGTTTGTGAGTGTTATGTAATGGCCGACCTTAGTGATGGACTGATTTAAAGCTTGTGTGTGTGCTGTGTTCTGACTGCCCAGCCAACCAGCCAACCATTCAACCATGCTCTAAATGGCCAACAAGATGCTCAGCTCGGTAGCACTCTGCAGCCCGCTGCCAAGGGGAGACATATCAGCCAGTACCGTTCCACATCCAGGGCACACAGCTGCTGTGTTACTGACTTCTCCGTCTGGTTAGATAAGGTTTCCTGCTGTGTTACTGTAGGTAAAGCCCGGTTAGATAAGGTTTCCTGCTGTGTTACTGTAGGTAAAGCCCGGTTAGATAAGGTTTCCTGCTGTGTTACTGTAGGTAAAGCCCGGTTAGATAAGGTTTCCTGCTGTGTTACTGTAGGTAAAGCCCGGTTAGATAAGGTTTCCTGCTGTGTTACTGTAGGTAAAGCCCGGTTAGATAAGGTTTCCTGCTGTGTTACTGTAGGTAAAGCCCGGTTAGATAAGGTTTCCTGCTGTGTTACTGTAGGTAAAGCCCGGTTAGATAAGGTTTCCTGCTGTGTTACTGTAGGTAAAGCCCGGTTAGATAAGGTTTCCTGCTGTGTTACTGTAGGTAAAGCCCGGTTAGATAAGGTTTCCTGCTGTGTTACTGTAGGTAAAGCCTGGTTAGATAAGGTTTCCTGCTGTGTTACTGTAGGTAAAGCCCGGTTAGATAAGGTTTCCTGCTGTGTTACTGTAGGTAAAGCCCGGTTAGATAAGGTTTCCTGCTGTGTTACTGTAGATAAAGCCCAGTTAGATAAGGTTTCCTGCTGTGTTACTGTAGGTAAAGCCCGGTTAGATAAGGTTTCCTGCTGTGTTACTGTAGGTAAAGCCCGGTTAGATAAGGTTTCCTGCTGTGTTACTGTAGGTAAAGCCTGGTTAGATAAGGTTTCCTGCTGTGTTACTGTAGGTAAAGCCCGGTTAGATAAGGTTTCCTGCTGTGTTACTGTAGGTAAAGCCCGGTTAGATAAGGTTTCCTGCTGTGTTACTGTAGGTAAAGCCCGGTTAGATAAGGTTTCCTGCTGTGTTACTGTAGGTAAAGCCCGGTTAGATAAGGTTTCCTGCTGTGTTACTGTAGATAAAGCCCAGTTAGATAAGGTTTCCTGCTGTGTTACTGTAGGTAAAGCCTGGTTAGATAAGGTTTCCTGCTGTGTTACTGTAGGTAAAGCCCGGTTAGATAAGGTTTCCTGCTGTGTTACTGTAGGTAAAGCCCGGTTAGATAAGGTTTCCTGCTGTGTTACTGTAGGTAAAGCCCGGTTAGATAAGGTTTCCTGCTGTGTTACTGTAGGTAAAGCCTGGTTAGTGTCAAGTCGCTGGTGAGCGGTGTTGGTGAAAAGTTGTGGTTTTTTTGCTCCGTCCCAGTGCAGCAGCATTGAGGAACCCTGCAGTTTGTCTTAATGGAGGATGATTGATTTCTCGCCCTTTGCATTTCTCGCTCTCTTTCCTCCACAGTATTTTCGAAGGCAGTGTGCGCTCAGGTCAGTCTTTCTCTTTTCGCTCTCTCACTACCTCCCTCTCTCGTGTCCTGCAGTATTAGCAAAGGCGTGTGTGTGCTCAGGTTAGTGGGCCCTGCTGTTGGTCTCCCTTCCCTGCAGTGTCGAGGCAGACTTTACATAATGTCCCCTCTCTTCCCTGCACGTCACGAGGCAGCCAGCCGCCACAGCTAGGGAGAGCAGCTCACTCCACAGAGGACGGGAAAACACACACACACACACAAAATCTATTCAGAGACTCAGCATACTCACAGGCACAGCCTAGACAGACACAAAATACACAGCCGGAACCAGGGCAGACCATCACTGGGCATTTAACGCCCCACAGTGAGGGTGAGAAAAACAGAATGAGAGAGAGATAATCTACATGCAGAGAGGTGAAGCGATAAATGCAGAAAAGAGACATTTACAGAGAAAAACTAAGTGTAAGGTAAACAGAGACAGAGAGCCATCTCATCCAGGGAAGGGGAGATTAAACACACAACAACAGAGGGGGCCAATGGCATCGCTGCATTGTGATGATATGGCAGCGACACAATCAGTCACATGACCCAGCAGCAGCCCCAGTGGACGGCCGCTGCTCTGCTCACAGTGACTCTGATTAACAGAGACTGGACCCAGGAGGCTGCTGTTGCGTAATATGGCTCACACTTAGAACGGTCTCATTTCCGTCTGGGTTCTACCAATAGGGAGAATTAATAATGCCCTGGTGGAGGTGGAAGATGAGGACGGGGCGGGAGTGGAATTTTACTGGGATTCAGTAGAAATCATGTATTGTTTTTTTCATGGACAAAGATTATGTTCTGTATGATTTTATGAAAAATAACGTAAATTGTGGTAATCATCTTGTCCTCCGATGTGGACGGTGGTTTAAAAAAAGGGATTTTGACAGAGGTCTCGCCAAGGTCAAATAATGGAAAACCAAAGACAAACAGAATTCTCTCTAATGTCTCATAGCTGAATAGAATATAAAATCTACTTCGCCACCCCTTTTAAATCTGTGGTTGCCAGAAAAAAAGCTCCATGAAGTAGCCTACACAGAAAGACAGAAAATAGTAGCAGAAGCCACAACAGGAAGGATAATTATTGCACAGGAAGTGTGGCCATACCTGGAAGGAGCCACACCCACCAGGTTGGGCCCCAGCCCTCTGAAGAGAGAGCGGGGTCCCTCCTTCTCCAGTATCAACCTGTAGAGGGAGAGAGAGGGGTGATGTTAGTTAGCATAGTGCTAAATCAAGTGCTAATTATTGATATGATGAAACAAAAGAAAATATTGATATCAAGATAGTGCTCCAGTCGTGGGATAGTGCCAATGTGGATAATCAGCCTGCCATGACCATAGAACATCGGCCTTTGCCTAAAATCTTCTATTCGTGACTAATAGTAATAAACAAATGCATTTATGGTCCATTTCCTGATACTGTGTGTTATTGCAAAATGGACCAAAGGAAACAAAAACAAAAAGTGTCAAAACAGATCAATATAACTTATGATGCATTCAATTAGATGATGTATTTCAGCATTCGTATGTGGGAGGGTGACATTGGGACATCATGGGGATTTAAAATCGAGAGAGGAAATGTACTACAGGGCAACATACCTGATAACTGATAGGTGACTTGTGTAATCGGAGATAAGCGATAAGAGAGTGGCATGTGACAGTTTGTAACTAATGAGTCAACGTGGTCATGGCTCATTCAGCTAGCATTAGGCGGCTTGCCAAACAGTTAAGCTAGATAGCAGGCCTCCAATGGAGAGTATGACATTGTAAGGTCACGCAGTGCAAGTAGCTGCTCTATGAAAATGGCTGATGATAGCGGTCATGCTGTGTTTATAGTGTCATTAGCCTAAACACTGAGTGTACAAAACATTAAGAACACCTTCCTTCCTAATATTGAGCTGTATCCCCCCCTTTTGCCCTCAGGATGCAGGGATGCTGCCCCATGTTGACTCCAATGCTTCCCACAGTTGTCAAGTTCGCTGGATGTCCTATGGGTGGTGGACCATTCTTGATACGCACAAGAAACTGTTGAGCGTGAAAAACCCAGCAGCATTGCAGTTCTTGACACACTCAAACCGGTGCGCCTGGCACCTACTACCATGCCCCGTTCAAAGGCACTTAAATATTTTGCCTTGCCCATTCATCCTCTGAATGGCACACATACACAACCCATGTCTCAACTGTCTCTTTAAAATCCTTCTTTAACCTGTCTCCTCCCCTTCATCTACACTGATTGAAGTGGATTTAACAAGTGACATCGATAAGGGATCATAGTTTTCACCTGGATTCACCTGGTTAGTCTGTCATGGAAAGAGCAGGTGTTCTTAATGCGCCATGATGAAATGTTGCCCCATATGCTGACATCACTGCTTCCCTACATCCTTAGCCTGAATTCAAGCCAAGGCTATTCCACCATTAACCTAATTCATCGAAATAGCACACACTCACTGCTTTGAAATAGTTTTATATCTAGATTCAACTATGAATTCAGTCACCTATGAATACAGTCAACTATGAATACAGTCAACTATGAATACAGTCCTAGAAGACTTTCAGCATCTTCCCTCATATCTACGCAGCCACAGAACTCAGCTCATACAGATCTACTCTGTTCTAAATGGGATTTGGCCAGCGCTGCGTACACTGGTGACCCACTTCTGCAGGTTTGTTTTCTCCCTGTGCTGCATAGTGGTGGTGTTGGGTTTCAGCTAGTACTTCCCCAGGGCAGAAGCATGGATGTTGACTGAGGGAAAGAAGGGAGAGAAGCAGGTCCAAGAACAGTGCAGCTGTGATAAGACGGAACCAAGCCTCCAGCTAGAGGTCTGTGCGGGACTGATTTATTCATCCCGCTCCCGCCCGCAGCTTTTCATACTGAACCCGCCCACACCCGCTGGCTTTCTGTCGGACTCCTACCCGCTACCACAAGAACTGGTCCCGAACCCAACCATGTGACGGAGCTCACATGCCAGCCATAGTCCCAGCAATTTTGTGCCCTATAGGCAATATCAAAATGCGCAAAAATAACCGTAGAAATAGGATAAATTACCAGAAATGTTCACGTGGCCCATTAGATTAAGCTATCGGTATTACTGGGATATATCAGCGAATAGAGGCGTCATCATGTTTTTTTGGGCCAAACCGTTCGGGCGCTAAAGATGTTTTCGTGAGAAGACCAATTTTCGTGATGTCTCATGGTCCGACAAACACCTCTGTAGCTCTGCCAGCTTTCACCGCAGATGCGGAAGGGCAACATCGGCGGATGCGGTCGATTGAGAATCATCCAATGCAATCTCCAGCTTAAACAGACAGATTTTTTTTATTTATTACGCTAATTAGAATTCAGCGGGGCCGCGGAAATCGACTCTAGGGGGGTTTAAGAGAGCAGAGTTGGAGACTTGCACTTTCTCTTGAGCTACGTTTTATATATTCAGACTGAGACAAATATGGGTGATCAATATTTATTTTTAGGCAATGTAGTAAACTATAGCGTAATCATATTTAGGAAGTACATTTCCTTGAAAAGATAACTGCCCCGTGTTTCTCCGTCCATGCATAGGCTATAGCCTACTCTATTTAACTGAGACCACATGCGCACCTGATCTCGCAGATATGGCTACTGAACTTGAAGCAGCAAGAATGATGACAGCGGACACTTGCACTTTCTCTTGAGCTACGTTCTGCATATAGGATATAGCCTACCTTTTAGGAAGACGATTTGCAGGCAGAGACAAATAAATGGGTAATCAATATTTATTGAAAATGAAAAGGCGTAACGCTCGCTAACCATAGTAACCTAACCTATGCGCAAGTTGTGCCTTTTTCTTTTGAATTATGATTTTAAAAATTGGATTGCACCTCGACTCACGTTGGTTGAGCGCCCTCCACTTCTTTATCAATATTTATTTACAGACACTGTCCTAAACGAATCTAATCATATTTAATTTCCTTGAAAAGATAACTTCCACGTGATTCTCTGCCCATGCATAGGCAGCCTACTGTATTTCATTGAGACCCACATATAGGTACTAGGTGCACTTGATCTCGCATGCCAAACTAGGAGAGGAGAGGTAGGATCCTTAACTTGAAGCAGCAAAATCTGAGAGTGTGTGAATGATGCGACAAAGATGTGCTTAATACAATAGGTAGGCCTTGGCTAACGCATACAAATCAGGAAGACGACTTTTTCCCCAAAATATAAATATTTTCATCCCAAAGTTGTATGTCTGACTGCCCGCTCTCAACCGCAGCATGAGAAATGCAGACCGCGCCGCAATGATCTCTGTCGGGACCCGCAGGTCCTGTGGCCATCCCGCAGGAATGCAGCCCTCTACCTCCTTCCAAAGCCTGATGAAAGCTTTCCTTAAAAAGGGGCCTTTATCGAAATTTCACTGGAAAGCACAATCGTTGTATATGTAGCAGTACTCTTGGTCCTTGTCTTGGTTAACCATTGCTTCTGGCTTGATTGGTACAATCTTTGTATATCATTAATGAAGTGGCTTTTATAGTGATAAGGCCACGGATGAAGATAGCTACATCGATCAAGATGGAATTTACACTTCATGTATTAACTGAAAAAGGGCGTTGGAGGCACCTAATTATGTCCAAAAGGAGTATGTTTGGTTGGAGAGATCAAGATTTGGTGAACAGGCCTTGTAAAGACCGATAAAGGCCTATCTCAATAGATATGCCCATACAACTCTGCAGAGAAGAATGGGAGAAACTCCCCAAATACAGTTGTGCCAAGCTTGTAGCGTCATACCCAAGAAGACTCAAGGCTGTAATCACTGCCAAAGGTGCTTCAACAAAGTACTGAGTAAAGGGTCTGAATACTTATGTAAATGTGATATTTCAGTTTCTTTTATTTATAAATATGGCCAAAAAAATCTAAAAACGTGTTTTTGCTTTGTCATTATGGGGTATTGTGTGTAGATTGATGAGGGGGGGGGGGGAAACAATGTAATCCCTTTTGGAATAAGGCTGTAACATAACAACATGTGTTAAAAGTCAAGGGGTCTGAATACTTTCCAAATGCACTGTATGCCCATACAACTACAAGGTCTATGGCCCAGTGTACTTAGGTAATATGCTCAAGCCTCCATTACCCCTCACTTACTGTATGCTCCCTTCACTACGCCAGTTGTGAAACAGGTTGTGCCTCCAGGCCCCTCGGTGGGGAATATTTGAGGTGAGGGCATGTTAACAGCTATTGGTATGAGCGAACCAAAACAGATCCACACTAAGCCTCTCCCCCTTCTGTTCTCCTATTTTTACAAGTGAGCGAGAGGCAGATTTAAGTATGCGATGGAACACCTTGTACTTGTCCAATATGATAAGGGATATTTCTGCCTTATCGGAAATGATGAAAGCAAGGCTACAACCCCCAATCTGAGATGTGTTTTACAAAAATAATGTCAAGAAGCTATTCCCGCTATGTGGTTTAGTGTGTGGGCAGGGTCCATTGTAAACGTTTTCTCTCACTGGCCCGGTCGGGTCAGTTGGCCATAAATCTACTCATCCAAACAGAATTTCTACTGGCCCAGACATGGTGTAGTTTTAAAATGAATTGGGGTCATGCAGGTCGTATAGGTTGGCATCCTTTCTCTCTATATGCAGCTATTAACATGCTACATTTGGTTATGATATGTATTATAAAGCAGTGTAATATAATTTAGCAATGTAAGTCATTACTCTATTCTTTAGAATTACATTGTATTAACGCATCAACTTGAGTGTTCGAGCAGTTGTGACTGCGGGAGCGTGGTGGAGCTTGAATGAACGGCCAATCATATATTGCTCAAATACAACAAGCACGACTGTAGTCTTCAATGGTTTTCAATGGTAGACTGCGACAGAGCAGGTAAATGTTGAACTGGAATGCAAAAATACACTGACAAGATACACTGGCCCGACATGTTTTTACTGGTCCCGGGCCATCGTTAATGTCGGACCCAGTGTGGGAGAGCCATATTCCTACAATCAAAATGCTGAATGCAAGTGAAGATTCGGTCATAACATAGTATGATGAAAGCAGGGAATGACTCTCCTAGCTTAAAACATTTTTTTAACGTGGTAAAGTAGACTCTTTCATTAACGACCTTTGTGGACAATAAAAGACGACCCCTCCGTAACCATGAAAAATGAAAAGTTGAAAGACATTTCTGTCTGATAACACTCCCGTCTACAGTAACTCATAACACATCTTTGAGTCATAGGGTGTTAGGTCATGGTATCAAAGGGCAGGTGAGATACTGTAGGTGGCCTTGACAGTGAAACGTCCAGATATAAACTCTTCCTGAGAGGGTCGGCGATCGTTTGATGATGCAGGAATGTTTGCTGTTGGTTTGCCAGTTGCTGGTACAAGGGTTAGGATGATTTCCATTGATTCATTGAATTGATAAGAGATCAGATTGACCCCAACATTTACGGTCATTGAAACCCTGCACTAATGTCAACAGAGCTTATCAGAAATCTGGGTTACACGTGAACGTTTTGGGTCGGAATTCGACCCACAGGGTTTTTGTCTGTGCAATGTGCATAAACACCCACTCATCCCAAGAATAGACTGGAACTGAACTAAACTTCAAATAGAGTTGACCACAACCTCACTGAGTAGACACAGTGTGTATTCTCTGTGGTAAGTGCAAACATTTCAGTTCATCACCTGAATAGTCTGGAACTGAACTGAACTTAAAATAGAACTGACCCACCAAACCCTGTAAACATACATAATGTGTAGGATATTCTCTGTGACCCCTGTGTGTTGGTGAACTTACTTGAGGCAGTGCAAGGGTCCCGGGGGGGCCATGCGGGCCACACTGGCCCCGTTGACTGTGCTGAGCTGCACCTCAGAGATGTAGAAGGTGACATGAGAGGACTGGAGTCTGGTCTTCACTACTTCCAGCGGACAAGTCAGAATAGCACCCACTGTGCCCCCACACCTAGACGGGGGGGGGGGAGGGAGAGACAGAGAGAGAGGAGGAAGATGGGCAGGTCAGAATAGACAAAAGTACAGTAAATACTGTGCAAAACGTTCCTTTTTACCATGTTATAAGCCTACCCACTGTATTACCATGTTATAGGCCTACCCACTGCATTACCATGTTATAGGCCTACCCACTGTATTCTGTGCTGTAATATAAAGTGCTACCAAACAAACAGCTATATTCTAGTTTGTTGCTTGTGATTTTAAAACTTTTTGAAGCTTTTCAAATTGTGGTACTAAGATGGGCATAAAATCTCCTGAAGTGAATTGTGGATAATTCAACTCTGATTGTATTGGGGCCAACAATGCTCTTAAGAAGTAGAGTAAGACAACCATATCGAGACTTGGTATTTCTGGAAACAACCAGTTGATTTTCAATGCTAGCAGCAGCTGGATCAGGTTCAGCATATTGATACACATTCAGCTTGAGTTGAACATAAAAACGTGCAACTGTAAATAGATAATGGCCCGGGCCAACCCACTGCCTGGGAGACTTTGAACTGGACTAACTTGTCTGTGACGATGTGTAAACTGAGGTGGTGGCCCTTTTTCCTGTAACGCCTTGACATGGTTTGTCTGGCCCCCCGGAGCTAGGTGGGTTACAATTCATGTGTTGTGACTTCTGTGTTTGCTAGGTTACAGGCTTTCCCAGCTCCGCTTTCAAATAATATTTGTCAATGAACCTCAACATGGGCTCAGGGCTGTGTAGAATGCATACTACAAGGCACAATTATAGTGGAATGGTTCCTGAAAATAGTCACCGTAGTATATCCTCTGTAGGCTAGGTTTAACGAATGTGAGTAGCATGCATGGTATGAGTGTATTCCTTTGCTGCAGCACTCTGTCTCAGTCAGACAAACCCACATACAGGCAAGAGCGACCTTTGGTCTAGATTCAGAGGGCTGTTCCATGCTGCGGCCTGTGTGTGTGTGTGTACAACCGGCAGTGAGAGGAAACATGCACACAGGCCTTGAGCCCTGTTGTGAGAAACATCAAGGGGACAATAATTATTTGCTTCTCGCTGAAGTAACTTTGTCACAACTTGTGCCCCTAAAATTGAATTTTCATAGTCAATGAAGGAGATATAAAATATTCTGGTTTGACAAGATAGGCCTTACAAGCTGACATTTTAAAAGTTTACAGAGCGCCTGAAAGAAAAGGAGAGGCTGACTGACAAAGAAAACAATATAAAAGGGGAAAACAAAGCTAAAAAGAAAGAAATGGAATCAATCATCACCTTGTCTTTCTTTGAAAGTGTTATCCAAAGACTTGTGCCAAAACCATACTAGAATTAGATTTTCCGTGATAAGTAGGCATATTTAGTGTCCAATTGCGAGAATGGCTCTAATAACCAACTGGTCATGTTTCAATGCCCCTAAGCATATTGGTGAGATCTACAATCTCAATTTACTTGGAGCAGTCAGACAAGTCCATTTTCAGCAACCTAGGCTACAGACAGGTGCCCTTTAACCCTTCCAACTTCCCATGTGTTGGCAAGATGTATTGAATGTGAAGGTCTACTAAATTACAATGTGGCAAAGCTAGAAATTAAGTGTGACACATATGACACCAATGATGTACACGCCTACAGGAACTGAAACACGCAGGTAGTCTCCTGATAACGTTACAACAGAGACTTTCTTGCAGTTTTCTTTTATACATTGAGAATGAAAAGTAATGAACGCTGGGAGACTTGAGCCCAAATCAAACGAGACGTGTTTTTTTTTTCATGTGCGTCCTAGAAATAGAATGCACGGAGAATACTGTTCCTCAATATTTCCACTGACATGCATAACTAGCCTATCATTAGCCAAGTAAAACAACTTCACAATGTATTTTACTTCAAAAGAGTAGAGCGGGACAACGTGCAGTGTAATTGCGGGCTATTTTGGGGGTGCTGAAATCCATACTTTTCGATCATTTATATATATATATATACAAATAATGTCGAAGCTCCAGTCCGCCCACACTAGTCGCTGCTCTACTCCGTTGATGTGAAGTACATTGTGGAGTTGAGTTTTACTTATAGCCTATCGTGTAAGCGTCAGTCAAATATATAGCCTAGCTAGGGGCGTATTCATTACGACAATTTTGTGGCAAACCTTTCTTAAACGAAAGCAGACGGATCGGAACGGGGATGGACCTACCTAAATTTGTCCAATAGAAACTCTCGTTTTAGTTGTAAAACGTTCCAACTGTTTGGAATAATGTAATCATTATAGTGCAATCATTATTCCTGTTCGGAATAACGATTACACCCGTGTTTTGACCTGACCTTTTTATCCAGTCTATAGAATGGTGTTGCAGTAGTTGTTACAGAGTATGCATTGCATAGGCCAGGGCATCTTCCCCATCTTTACAAATGTGCGTTTTATAAGGTTTGTCGGAGTATGACAACGCAAAAAAATATGTGTCCAGAAATGTAATTATGATATTCGGCGACATAGCCATCACTACTCGGTCAACGGCTGCACGAGAACAACAAAGGCTCGTGCGTCATGGATATTTCATTCACGAGCATACTCATCTGTCGGAGAGCAAACCAACAACCCTGGAGTGTGATGCGTGGGTGTCAACCTGTTTTCTGTCGAATTAAATAATGTATTTTGTGATAAACGTCAACATCTGGAACTACTGCAAATATCTTTGATGTGTTGAAACTAGGCTACAATAGTAGTGGCCAGCGCCTAGCTTGCTCGACCGTGGTAGCCTACTTTGATGCTGCAACTGGCTAGCTGCTGCCTGAGGATGGGTCGGGTAGTGCAGCTGCTAATGTAACATGCACGCGCGCCTTGAAAAATGGCAATGGGGAAATAAATGGGTCTTATTTTCGCCAAGATAGCCATGCAAGCTAATTTTGACTGTAAAAGTCAGTCAGGAAATGTCATGTCGACTAGCTAACGTTATTCAGAGCAAATAATAGCTACTCACCCTCCGGCAAACAAATGAACCAAGGTATCCCTTTGACTCATTCTTTAGCATTCTCTGAACCAGTACACTCTTTGGACTGCGTCAAGGAGGAAGACAGGATTGAATGGCGAACGGTCGACCACCCCGATGTCGAAGACGATATGCGCACTTCGATAAATCAGCGACGTCGATTATAAATCAGTATGTGTGATTCAGATTGCCGTAGCTAATGTTAGCTAGACGGCTAGTCAATTTGCGAGCTAAACAAACCCTTCTCTTAGTTTCGAGTAATCTCCTCTTTGAACAGACCTTATTTCAATTTATAGATCGTTATACTACAAAAGAAGAGGAATTCAAAAGGAAGATTTTTTTCAAACGTATTCTCGCTTCTATCAATCGGTATTTGCTACAGTCACCACCGCTTTCATTTCTCATCTGTTCACGGCTGCAATGAGGGGCGATAGGTCATAGTGTTTAGCTACTGTAGAATGATAAAAAAAAGGCTGCAAAACAGAGTCCGCTATTGGCCAGTTTGCCTTAATACGTCACTTTGTCTCCGCCGGATCACGCATTTTTCACACGAAACATTTATAAAATCTTTCACATGATCAGCTGGAGCACCCCATAAAACGGGGCAGTTTTAGGTCTTTACGGGTATAAATAACGAAAACTACTTTAAAAAAAATATATACAGTAACGGTTATGAGGATATGACGGGTGGTCATATCTGACTATTCAAAATGCTTTGCTGGTGATGAACCTATGAACATGATGTCATATGCACATTGCATGAATGGATTTGTTCATTAATTATTCTCCTAGTGACCTATTGCATATATATAACAAATACGTGTTAAGTGTGGTCCTCTGTAGCTCAATTGGTAGAGCATGGCGCTTGTAACGCCAGGGTAGTTGGTTCGATCCCCGGGACCACCCATATGTAAAAATGTATGCACACATGACTATAGGCGTCTGCTAAATGGCATATTATTATAAGTGTTTATGTACACTGCATTTTCAATGTATATGCACATTTTGTGCTTTATGGGATGGGATGCCATGAATTTGTGCTTTATGGGATGGGATGCCATGAAATAAAATTAGGTAGCCAACATAGTGATGAGAGGTCACCTCGCAATTATATTCCAAAAGTGTATGTATGTACAATGAACTGTGAAAAACGATACCATTATTGAATATATATGGAGGGAAGCATTTCTGTCACTGGAACAGGTAATAAAAAAATAGAAAATTGGGGCATGGGAGTCAGAGCCCTATAGTTCCAAAGCAGACTTGCAATGATGTGAAACCAGACTGAGTTCCCTGTGAGAGCAACCAGATCAGCTGAGAGAGATTGTAACATCCATTATGGGAGATGTGGTTGACTGATTTGTACATTTTAGTTATTTTGCAGACGCTCTTATCCCGAGCGACTTACAGTAGTGAGTGCATACATTTTAATATTTGTTTGTACTGGTCCCCTGTGGGAATTGAACCCACATCCCTGGCGCTGCAAGTGCCACGCTCTACCAACTGAGCCACACGGGACCAATAGGGAATGAATGGACCTCTTGGTTTCCTAATTGGAGGCACAATTTGACAAATTGAAGTCATGTGCATGGAGGCTAAAGTTATTTATGACTGTCCTGGCAGACTAAAACGAGATCGCCAGCTCATAGGAAGTATATCATGCTCCCATCAGGTACAACTGTTCTGTAAGACTGTAACAATGAAAATAGACAACACTTTATTCACATAGCACTTTTCCTTCCAGAGTACAATGAAAATAGACAACACTTTATTCATATAGGACTTTACCTTCCAGAATTTAGAAAAAAATCTGAAAAGAGGACCTATCTGACCAGGTCTGTGTGAGGAAGAGAAAGAAGAGAGGAAAAGAAGCCTATAGTTTGCCTGGACACCAATCTCTTAAAACAGTAGGGTAAATCAATATGAATTCAATCACTTTTTGACAGCATCCCTTTTGATTTAAACAAAACTTTCTATACATGTTTGCCCATGTAAGAAGTGATCAGAAAGGGATGCATTCAGGGATAGGTCCATTCTACAACATATGCAAATATGGAAGAAAATAATCGGGAGTTTACTTGTTTTTAGATAATTTACGTTTAAGGTTTAAAAAAATGACAATATTTATAAAACATTTTTTTCCTCCAAGAAATTATAAAACAGTTTGACAGCCCTGTTTGTAAGCTTTTAAATTATATCAATCTCAACTATTTATATTTTCCAATGATGAAGACATGGATGTCTTATGGTATGCTGAGGTATGCAAAATAGGTCGACTTTGAGCACCTTTATCTCTTGAATGTTTTGGCATTCAGATTCTAAAAGTTACTTTCTGAGCACTTCTACAATTGGCAAATATGTATGGAAGGTTTCGTTCAAATCAAAAGAGGTGCTGTCAAAAAGTGATTGAACTCAAATGGATTTACCCAACTGTTTACCCAATATCCAGCTCCTTTTATTGTTATCTTACAAGTCAGCAACAATGGACACTGCAGGAGAGTGATAGTGGACAAACTGACAACCACAATACAGGACATGGAAAAGGGGTAATGTGTTGCCATTGACAGTTGAGATGACGAATGATGGTACCGGACTGGCAACCAGTGGCCCACACAGCCCTTCCCCAGTTGCCAGTTCAAAACCTTGGTCATAATTCTGTATTTACCTACCCAAATGAGGTTCTTGGCATGAGCTAAAGTATTCATGGTTTGGCATGAGCTAAAGTGATCAAAGTACGTTATGTAAGTCACCTTGCCATGAGGACAAGAGCACAGTAAATTAATACAATATAATTACATGCTTCTTTTTCACTACGAAGTTGAATGCGGTCCTCACACTAACAGTTTAAGAGAATCACAAGATTGCAGCAATGGGATTATGCTGAACGCCATAGTGCATTATTGAAATGGGGGGGGGTCAAGAGCTTCAAGTTTCTCAGTGACCACATCACCAGCAGTCATGAAGAAGGCACGGTGCCTCTTCTCCCTCAGGAGTCTGAAACGATTTTGCATGGTCCCTCAGATCCTCAGAAACTTTTACAGCTGCACCATCGAGAGCATTCTGACTGGTAGTATCACCCGTCTGGTATGGCAACTGCAAGGCCCTACAGAGAGTGGTGTGAATGGCCCAGCGCATCACTGGGGGTGAGCTCCCAGCCATCCAGGACGTACATGCCAGGCAGTATCTGTGAAAAGCCCAAAAAATTGCCAAAGACTCCAGCCACCCGAGACATGGACTGTTCTCCCTGCTCTCATCTGGCTGGCGGTACTAGTGCATCAAGGCTCAGACCAACAGACTACTAAACAGCTTCTATCCCCTCACCATAAGACTGTTAAATGGCTAATAACTACTTCTCTCCCTCTCCCACAGACTATCCACATTGACTCTATGCCCATCCACAGGTCTCTACCCACTCAGACACACACACCTTCACTGTCACTCTTACTCACACACACACACACACCCTCACTCACTACTGATACCACACACACACACACCCTCACACCTACGCTGCTGCTATAATGATTATTGATTCGATTTATTACTACCATTACGCTGCTGTTCATTGATTATTGATTGCCATTACCATTAGTATCTATCTATTTATCCTGCTACTGGTCACTATTACTCCTGTTTACATGTATATATTACCATTAGTATATTACCATAAGTATTTATATGTTCCTGCTACCAGTCACTTTTCAGCCCTGTTTACATGTATATCCTTCTACACTGACACTCTTGCACACACACACACTCACACTAACACTCAAACATACATTCACATACTCACACTCACCACTACGCAGGCACCCACCCAGCACGTTTGCTGCTACCATATTGTTTAATATTATTGTTATTATTATTATTATTGTTTATTCTGCTACCAGTCACTTTCTCCTAATCCTGTACATACTGTATCTACCTCAACTACTCCAGTATCCCTGCACATTGTACGTTTGGTACTGGCACTGACCCTGTATACAGCACTGACCCTGTATACAGCACTGACCCTGTATACAGCACTGACCCTGTATACAGCACTGACCCTGTGTACAGCACTGACCCTGTATACAGCACTGACCCTGTATACAGCACTGACCATGTATACATCACTCACCCTGTATACAGCGCTGACCCTGTATACAGCACTAACCCTGTATACAGCACTGACCATGTATACATCACTCACCCTGTATACAGCGCTGACCCTGTATACAGCACTAACCCTGTATACAGCACTGACCCTGTATACAGCACTGACCCTGTATACAGCACTGACCATGTATACATCACTCACCCTGTATACAGCACTGATCATGTATACAGCGCTGACCCTGTATACAGCACTAACCCTGTATACAGCACTGACCCTGTATACAGCACTGACCCTGTATACAGCACTGACCCTGTATACAGCACTAACCCTGTATACAGCGCTGACCCTGTATACAGCACTGACCCTGTATACAGCACTGACCCTGTATACAGCACTAACCCTGTATACAGCGCTGACCCTGTATACAGCACTGACCCTGTATACAGCACTGACCCTGTATACAGCACTGACCCTGTATACAGCGCTGACCATGTATACAGCACTGACCCTGTATACAGCGCTGACCATGTATACAGCACTGACCATGTATACAGCACTAACCCTGTATACAGCGCTGACCATGTTTACAGCACTAACCCTGTATACAGCACTGACCCTGTATACAGCACTGACCATGTATACAGCACTGACCCTGTATACAGCACTGACCATGTATACAGCACTGACCCTGTATACAGCACTGACCATGTATACAGCACTGACCCTGTATACAGCACTGACCATGTATACAGCACTGACCCTGTATACAGCACTGACCCTGTATACATCTTACATTCTCCTGTTTTTTTCTTCTTCTTCCCCTCTTATTTCTCCTTCTTTGTTTTAGTTATAATATTTTGATATTGAATACTGCACTGTTGGGAAGGGCTTGCATTTCACTGTACTTGTGCATGTGACAAATGCAACTTGAAACTTGTTATGTAACCATTCTTACCACAATTTAGTGTGGATGATGTAGAAACACGAGAACGTGTGTGAAAGTATCAGCTAACCACATCATATATTAGCAATCTGTCAGTCGATGACACAGTCGATGAGGTGGCACGCAACCATTGGTTGATGCATGCAACGTCTGAGCAGGGGAACGTGATCAATGTCACTGGGTCATGTTTAGTTTTGATTCATGTAGCTGACAACAACATATAAGTCATAGCTTAATTAATTCCATTCAAATGGCAGACTGACCCCAGACATTTTGATAGAGAACAAATAATTAATGGGAACATTGAGACAAAATTAAACATTTATAACCCTATCATAATGCAATTACTTTGAAGGTAATTTAAAGGGGCAATCTGCAGTTGCTACATCCATTTTTGGACGTAT